TTAAAAATTTTATGCCATCCAGTAATAATAACAAAATACAGTGCCTTCTAAAAAATTTTTATTGTTGAAAGTATTACATATGTCCCCTTTTCCCCCCACTGACCCCTTCCAGCCCACTGCTACCCCTGGCCTTCACCACCCTATTGTCTGTGTCTATGCATGTATGCATACAAGTTCTTTGGTTGATCTCTTCCCACACACCAGTGCCATCTTTTTTCTAAAAACACTTTCATAAACATTTTTCTAGTTGTTCTTCAACACGATCTTATGAAGCAAGCAAAGAAGGACTTAAACTACTCATCACAAGATGGGGAAATTAAGATTCAGAGAGTTGAAGTGGCTTGCTCAACATCACACCTTTTAAAGAGCCAGGTTTTTGGTCTCCTAGCCCAGTGCTCTTTTATCCAATTACTACCTCTCGACATTACCTCATTTATTTGGATACCCCTATTCAGGCCAATTTATCATTATTATAAAACCCCTGAGCAGTCCATTGGTTTCATGGAAGAGACCCAAAGAGACCAATATTTATTTCTCTCCTATCAAATAAATAAGTGAACAGATCCATATAAAATCCCCCCTTCCCTGCCCTGCTTTTACTTAGAAATGGTAGTTCACGACAAACAGCATTTAGATACCTAATAAAGCTCCTACCTAGGAAGAAGTTAGGGCTGGAGTCCTAACTTATTTCTTGACCTGTTGGTGAAGACTTGTTAGAGCCATTCTGATACAAGAGAGAGATTGACTAGAGCTAGTAAAAGGTGACATTCTAAATGTAAAGGAGCCCACGCTTGAGACGGCTCTGATTGTTTATACTCCTACATTTAGTGAAAGTTAGGACTTGTTTCTTCAGAAGTCCTTACCACCCTCAAGATAGTATGATTCCGAGTTTCTCAAGATTGTAATACTCTAGAATCTAGAACCCTAAGACTGTTATGTCTGTAAGGGCTCTAAAATCTTGTAATTCTTGTGGAACAACTTTATAAAGGGAAGATGAAGTCATGGATTAGCCAGTTCTTACCTGCCTCTCCTACTCTATCTGCCCCACCTCCAATGAGTTATTCACTTAAAGTTCCAAGTGCTTAAATTCCCATTGGAAACAATGAAAATAATGGCACATTCATCCATGGGATACTTTGCAGTGGTTCTCAACCTTCCTAATGCCGCGACCCTTTAATACAGTTCCTCATGTTGTGGTGACCCCCAATTTCATTGTTACAAATTGAACATAATTAAAAGCATAGTGATTAATCACAAAAAAATGTAATTATATATGTTTTCTGATGGTCTTAGGCGACCCCTGTGAAAGGGTCTTTCAACCCCCAAAGAGGTCGCGACCCACAGGTTGAGAACCGCTGCTTTATAGTATGCATAAAATTAAAATGACAAGGAAAAATACTTAGCATGTAATAAAACAATACAACTTTTTTTTTACAGCATTGTCCCAATGGTATTAAAACAAGAGAAAAAAAATAAAAGAATGACCAAAGGTAATCATGATTGCTTCTGGTTGACAGGATAATAAATAATTTTTCATTTCATTTTCATTTTAATGCTTTTTAATTTTACTTTGATACTAACGCTCTTCCCAATCTTCTAAATTATGCATATATTTTATAATCAGAAAGAAATGTTTTACGTTCAAACGTGTGAGGACACACTCCAGTTTATCTCGGAGTTGGGAGGTAGAGTCGTCCCAAAGGAGAGGGAGGAGCCACTGAGCTTTGACTTGGGCTTTGCAGGGGGAGGAGGGATTAGCACTGGACGGGGTGGGGTCTGATCAGCTCAGCTGGAGTTCAACCCGGAAGCGCTGACGGTGGCACCAGCCGGGCAAAATCCAGTAAAAGTGGGAATTACGTGGCAGCTGCAACCAGCCAGCAAGGCAGGCGTGGTCCAGGCCGCCCGCAACGCCCTCGGGGCCCATGCCCCTCCTCCCATAACTCCCGCCCCTTGTCTGTTCCCATTGGTCCGCTGAGCCAAGTTTGGTCGTTGGGGTCGCCCATCTCTCGCTGGCCATGCTGAGTGTGGCCGGACGCAAGAGGGTGGGGCCGGGCGTTTGCTCCCACCGCCCCAGCCGCACCCTCCCAAGTCGCGGACTCCATGCAAACTGTGGTTGCCACCAGGGAGCAGGGCCTTTGTGAGACGTGTAGACGTCCTCTGCGCTGCCTCCAGTTCTGCAGAGGCCATTGGGTTTTAGTTTTGGAGAGGTGATGTCATCACAAAACCTTTACATGGTCCTAACGCCCATGGTTAAGGTTTCAGATCCACAGAAAATCAGAGATCCTTAGAGATAGAGTGACCATGCCATTCATTGTTCAAATCAGGACAACTTGGAGAGCCTAAGCAGTGATGGCCAACCTTTTGAGCTCGGCGTGTCAGCATTTTGAAAAACCCTAACTTAACTCTGGTGCCGTGTCACATATAGAAATTTTTTGATATTTTATTTAAATGCCATTTAACAAAGAAAAATCAACCAAAAAAATGAGTTCGCGTGTCACCTCTGACACGCGTGTCATAGGTTCGCCATCACTGGCCTAAGGGGATACTATTAATAATTACGATTGGCAGAACAGTCATAAATGTGGACTGTTCTGGAACTTACAGCCACCCTACCTAGAAATCACCTGGTCTTAGGCCTAGCTCATTTTTACTTTTTAAAACATTATGGTAAAATGTATATAACATGAAATTTTCTATTTTAACCGGTTTAAGTGCACAATTCAATGGCATTACCTACTTTCACAATATTGCACAAACATCACCATTATAATTTCCAAAAATTTTCATCACAAGAATAATGCTCCTGTGAACATTTCTGTACACATTTTTGTGTGGACATATGTTTTCAGTTCTCTTGGGTGTATACCTAGAAGTGGAATTGCTGAGTCATATGACAACCATATGTTTAACATTGTGAGGAAAAAAACTGATTTTCAAAGCGGTTGCACCGTTTTGTATTCCTGACAGCAATGTCTGATGGTTCAAAGTGCTCCACATCTACTTTAATACTTGTTTTTTTTTTCTGTTTTTATTTTATTTATTTATTTTTAATCCTGACCCGAGGATATTTTTCCATTGACTTTTAGAGAGGGTGGAAGAGAGAGGGAAAGACAGAAATATAGATGTGAGAGAAACACATCGATTGGTTGCCTCCTGCACGCTCCCCCACCAGGAGGACCCCTGCTGAGGTACATGCCTTTGACTGGCATCAAACCTGGGACCTTTCGGTTTGCAGGCCGATGCTCTATCCACTGAGCCAAACCAGCTAGGGCTCTGTGTTTTTAATTATTAGCTATGCTAGTGAGTTTGAAGTCGTATCTTGTGGTTTTGATTTGTATTTTCCCAGTGATTAATGATGTTGAGTATTTTTTCATTTGATTATTGGTCATTTATATGTCTTCTTTGGAGAAATGTCTATTTAATCCTATGTTTGTTTTTCATTTTATTGTTGAGTTGTGAAAGTTCTTTATATATTCTGGATACTAGACTCCTATCAGATTTATAATTTGTAAATATTTTCTCCCATTCTAAGTGTTATCTTTTAACTTTCTTGATAGTATATTTTGGTGCATAAAAGTTTTCATTTGTAATGCAGTCCACTCTATCCTTTTTTATTACTTGTGCTTTTGTGTCATATCTAAGGGACCATATCTAAGAGACCTAATGTAAGGTCACAAAGATTTTCACTTATGTTTTCTTTTCTTTTTTAAAAAAATATATTTTATTGATTCTTTACAGAGAGGAAGGGAGAGGGATAGAGAGTCAGAAACATTGATGAGAGAGAAACATCGATCAGCTGCCTCCTGCACACTCCCCACTGGGTATGTGCCTGCAACCAAGGTACATGCCCTTGACCTTTACGTTTTTATTGATTTCAGAGAGGAAGGGAGCGAGAAACATCAATGATGAGAGAATCATTGATTGGCTGCCTCCTGCATGCCCCCTACTGGGAAGAGATCCCGCCCGCAACCCGGGCATGTGCCCTTGGCCGGAATCGAACCTGGGACCATTTCATCCGCAGGCCAACTCTCTATCCACTGAGCCAAACCAGCTAGAGGCATCCACTTATGTTTTCTTATAAGAGTTTTATAAGTTTAACTCTTTTTTTCCCCCAGAGGAGAGCACGAACACAGTCCCCCACTACCACAAATTATGCAGTCGAGTTTCCCACTTTTAAGGAAATCATAGGGGGCAGCATATCCAGGGTGCAGTGCATAAGCCTGGCCCTGGAAAAACCACCTTTGTGACCATGGTATCTCCCCTGCCTGTAAGCATAATGTTGACAACACATCTTGCCTTCTTGGGATAACTCTTACTTGGTCATGGTATATAATCCTTTTTACATGCTGCTGGATTCGGTATCCTAGTGTTTTCTTAAGGAATGTGTGTAAGGAGTATTGCTCTGTAGTTTTCTTTTTTCCTTTAGAGGTCTTTGTGTAGTTTTAGTCGCAGGTTAATACTGGCCTCATAGAATGAGTTGGGAAGTGTTACCTCACATTCTACTTTTTGGAACAATCTGTGAAGTATTAGTATTAATTCAAATTTAAATTTATAGTGTAGTCATCAGGTCTTTGGGAGAATTTTTTTTTTGTCGATAGGATTTAATATTTTTATTTGAACGATTAGGTAGAGGGTGGTACATAGGGGAAAAAAGAAGCATATTTAAGAGCAAAAGCATAAATGGTGGACATTTATATTTTATGAAGTTTGGATGCCTGTAGGACTTCCAAAAATACATCAAGCAGGTAATTTACTATATAAATATTAGCCCGCCATCCCATGCACACGATGGTCATATAAAATGAAGGATGTCCACTTATATTTGAATTTCAAATTAAAATAATTTCAGTAAAGTCCTAAATATTTTATGAGACATATTTATGCTTTAAAAATTATTTCTTGTGTATCTGAAACATAAAAAATAAAATGGTTACCAATAATATATTGTCTTTATTCAACCATCTCGCACACAAATGAACAACCAGGATGTGTACCGCAGAACCAGGAAGGAGCCCACGCCAGCTCCTGTGTGAACCACACCCCCAGCCCCAGTTCTGCAGGGGCCCCTGGGCGAGGCGGCAGGGTGGCTGCACAGGGGCCTGGTGTGGACTTGGCCAGGACTGCCCACCCAGCGCCCCTCCCCACGTTAAACAACAGGCTCAGGTCCCAGCAGCAGCCCGGAAGGTAGTGAACAGAGGTGCCTGGAGGAAGAGTGGGCCACTCTGGAAATGGGGGGATCTACTCTCCCTCCACACTCCTGAGGGGGCTGTCCCTGGCCGACGGGGTTCCCAAGGAGGCCACAGCCGCTCCCCAGCAGCAGCCAAGGCCGAGCGGGGCGCCAGATTTTGTTGCTAAGATCCCGGGCGCTGGTGGAGAGAGCGGAGAGGCTCAGGCATGCTCTGTGGGGCCAGGCCCGCTAGCGTGGGAGTGGGCAGGGGCGGCGGGCTGCAGGGGGCCAGCGCTGGGCTCTG